TTGCCATTTTGCTACAAGAGTCCAGAGGAACAACAGCTCTTTGTTGAGATCTACATCAGGAAAATGGCAGAGGAAATGGAATTCCTTATTACAGATGGACAGAATGACACTGTCATCTGGAGGGCATCGCTGAGATCAGGTAGGATCAGATCCATCTGTAAGGGGAAATATGATAATGGGACACTGAGCTGCACTTCTTGTGACAGGGAAAAGAGGTGCTCAGATGCTCTGAGCACAGGGCATGGTACTGTGCCTTGGGATCGTTTCATTGTTCGGCTAATTCTGGATCGCTAAACTAACACTTACAAATGTACACAACCCTGGCCCCACTTAGCTGAGTTCTCAACAGATGGCAAGAAATACTGTAAGCAGGATATAATGGCTAATGGATCCATGGAAGATCAGGAATCTCAAGAGGAATTTTGGAAGGGGTTTGCACTACGTTTATGGTGTATTTCATAATCTCCCTCCTTTCTCTTTCAGGTGATATTAGTCTTTCTAGAAATGTCTACAAGATCCCTTCAGGTCAGTACAGGTTTTCAGAGCTGCATTTATTGAGTCTGAATATTTATTGGGGGTTTTCAATCTTCTGGCTTAAAGCAGATAATCAACCACCTTTTCCCCCAAATTAATTTCTCTGTCTAGACAAAAAAAAACTTTAATGCTTTTATTATCTCACTTTTGACAGCATGCTCTGTAAACTGACATGTCTTTGGGGATCCTCCAAACGGTTTTGCCTTCTTTGTCATCAGACATACTCTTTCTATAGAGTATACAGCTTATACAGCTCACAGCCCAGAAATATTTCACGGGACTTTCAGTAACTGGGAGACTTGGTGCATCTCATACCTTATCACAGAGCCAATGCTTCCAACTTGCTTCAAATACTCTAGGATCTCTGGAAGGGACAGTCCCTGGGATGTCACCAACCTGACCTCCCTCTGCTCTGGCTCTGTCCTTGCCTTAGCTCCAATGCTTCCACAGCTGATGAGGGAGCTTTCTTCTGGTGGCTCAGCCTCCTGGCTAGAGAGCAGCACTGCTGGTGCAGTGAAGGGAATGGAAGCTGTGGGACAGAGCAAACAGCCCTTGGGTGTGTTGGCTAGGATGCAGAGTACCACAGCAGGAACCAACCTGCCTTGTCATGTACAGCACAGTAACACAGGCTTTGGTATCTGCTAGGTGCAGCCTTACTGAAGAAGCACAAGACAGAGCTTTGTTCCAGGATGCGGCTGAACACCTCCATTCTACTACACTTAAGGGATGAAGGTGTAATCAACAGTGAAGAAGAAGAGGAGGTGCAAGCTCAAAATACAAACCAAAAGAAGAATCAATTTCTGCTGGACCTAGTTGAGAAAAAAGGGCCCAAGGCCCAAGAGAAGCTCTGTCAGGTCCTCCAGAATGAAAACCCATTCCTTGTTGAATACTTGGAGCAGATCTCTTTCGTGTACAGCAATTTTTGTTCCCATTTCCCGAATCCTGACCTTTCTATGCAAAATCCATGATACATAGCAATGCCAAAGCCTTCTGAGCCACCAACTGCCAGGCCTGCTTCCCTTACCTGA